AACTTGATCAATGATAGGAGTGAAATCCTGATCATTATCAAAAGAAATTATAGGAATAGGAACCAATTCCTCTTCAACAAGAGTAGTATGGTCTGATTCCTCCTTTAAGACAAAGTATCTAACCTGATTTCTCCCCCCAAATTCAATATCCTCAAAGAACATTGTAGTTTCCGGCTCATATATTATCTTTAATTTGGGATCATAAAAACTTGTAACCCTTAGATCGCTCTCAATAACCAACAAAATAGCTGCTCACTGTTTTAAGGTCTAACTTTTTCTCATTTTTCTCATGTGGCTTGTAAGCATGTGGCTTGTAAGGCCTTGCCTCAGCTGGGCAACCCTAAACATGAAAATGCTTTAAACTAAGGTTTTGTCCTGTCCACAGCTCATAAGGTGTCTTTGGAGCTGCTTTAGTTGGTATTCTATTTAAAATGTAGGCCGCTGTCTTAAGTGCTTCTCCCCAGAGTGATTCTGGTAAGGTTGAATGATTGATCATACTTTTTACCACGTCTTTAAGAGTGTGATTTTGTCTTTTAGCTACACCATTCATGCTAGGTGACCTCAACATTGTGTACTGAGGGAAAATTCCATACTCCTCTAGGAATCTGGCAAATGGTCCCGAACGTTGTTCACCTGAATTGTCATATCTGCCATAGTATTCACCATCACGATCAGATTTGACTTGCTTTATTGTTTTGCTTAGTTGATTTTCAACTTCAGCCTTATAAGATTTGAACTCGTCCAATACTTGGGACTTCTCATGAATAAGAAATAGGTATGCATATTTTGAATAATTATCTATGAATGATACAAAGTATTGTTGACTATTCCAAGAAGGTATAGAAAACAACCCACAAATATCCGTATGTATCAATTCTAAGATGCCTGTAGCTCTATATGCTCCTAATTTCTTTGTTTTGGTATGTTTTCCCTTAATGCAGCCAATACAAACATTAAAGTCCGTAAAATCAATGGAACTTAGAATTTCATCTAATATAAGTCTTTCAACTCTATTTCTAGAGATGTGACCTAAACGCTTGTGTCATAATGTTCTTAAATTTTCATTTTCAATTTTACGCTTAGTATCACGTGATTCCACATTTAAAGTGTCATTATAAGAAGCAACAATATCAAACAAATAAAGATTATCATAAACCATAAGCGAACAATTTCCAAGAATATTGGAATCAATAGATAAACTGAAACAACTGTTTTGAAATGAACAACAACAACCCAATTTGACAATAAAAATGAACAACAATAACCCAATTTGTCCAAACAAGAAACATAAATCAAATTCCGTCTAAATGACGGTACAACAAAAGTATCTATCAAATCCAAATAGTAACCAGTACTTAATAACAATCTGAAATGCCCAGTTGCTTCCACTTCTATCGATATTCCATCTCCTACATAAATGCATTTTTCAGCATCATTTGGTTTTCGGTAGCTCAGGCAACCCTGCATTGAAACAATTTATATTAGTAGTAGCACCAGAGTCTAACCACCAAGTGTTTCTTGGTACTAATGCCAAATTTACCTCAGAACAGACCAAAGTTAGAAATGTACCTTTCTTCGCACGTCAAGGGTGATATTTTGGACATTCCTTCTTCTAATGTCCTTCCTTATTGCAAAAGAAACAAACTCCACTTTCAAGATTTTGAGAGTGAACTTTATTTTGTTTCTTTTGAGAATGACCCTTATTCTTAGCAGCCTTATTCTTTCTTTTAGTGCTCCTTTCTTTAGAGGTGTTTACCAAATGAGCACTAT